CCTCTACAACCAAGTTGTCCATCACCAGCTAATCTGCTCCATTAACTGCTTACATTCCAATAACTGCTCTCAGCATCCCAAATGTGCTTTATCTCTGCCTTCGTGTGGTCTCATGAGCTCAGCTCCTCCCATAAGGTGCCTTTTATCCCCTGCTGAGTGCCCATTTTCTCCTCCTGCAGGGAGCTCCCCTCTATAACCAAGTTGTCCATCACCAATCTGCTCCATTAACTGCTTACATTCCAATAACTGCTCTCAGCATCCCAAATGTGCTTTATCTCTGCCTTCGTGTGGTCTCATGAGCTCAGCTCCTCCCATAAGGTGCCTTTTATCCCCTGCTGAGTGGGTGCCTCTGCTAAACTCAGGGGTCTCACACCCCCTCCACATCTCCTCCTCTCCCTGGCAGCAGCAGCCAGCCTTTTTTTCCACTCCCAGGAGGGGACACAGCCTGCAGCCATGAGGACAGTCCTCTACCGTGGCCTCGCAGGCAGCGGTCCCAGTCCCACAGCTAAACAGATGGCCCGGCATCACCGTATGGTTTGGCAGTGGCCAAGCCAGCCCTATAGGAACGGGGACTTCCCAGGTGCACAGAAACCTTTGGCAAGATGAACGTTAAGAACAACAAAATAAGGCCTCCAGAAAAGTAAACTGAATCAACAATACGGGGGGGTTTGAGAACCAAACCCTGATATTCCTGAAATGCCTGAGCTGGGGCTCCAAGTCAGTAGCTGCTACCTGGCAGTAAGGTACCAACACCATTGCCTCCCACAGAACATTAAAAAATGAACCAGTTAACTCAGCTGCGTCCCTGAATAGTCCTTACAATTCACTGCTTTTAGTATATCACACCTTGCATTGCTGTCATCCCTTTTCCCCACTATTCTGACTCGCTTTAAAGGTTTTCTGATATGCAAAAACAAATTTACGCTGTCATCCCTTTTCCCCACTATTCTGACTTAAAGGTTTTCTAATGTGCAAAAACAAATTTATGGGGAAGCTTCGACTGTTGATGTGCCATACTCTTCATATATCTCTCCCCTCTTCTCCAAACAGCCTTTATCCTTCCCAACCAGAGGAGAAAAGAAAATATAGTGGCAGTGAAAGAGTCTTAGTCTCCTGCCTCTTTTCCATCTTTTTTTTTTTTTAAATATAGCTTTGGTTTGGTTTTTGTTTGGTTTTAACTTAGGCTTTTCCAGACAAAAATAGGAATTTTGGGTTTGGGTTTTTTTTGGTTTGTTTTTTTTGTTTTGGGTTGTTTTTTTGAACCAGTCAGGAAAGATGACCTCTCCTTTCACTCCTTCCAGCAAGCTCCTGCTTGCAGAGGTTCCCCAGCACCTGGGTCTTCAACTCCTTCAACTTCCAGCCTGGAGCCCTTTGTCCGTTTTCCTGTAGCCAATTCCATGTGCCAGAGGCAAGGGTTAGGTTCCCCAGCACCTGGGTCTTCAACTCCTTCAACTTCCAGCCTGGAGCCCTTTGTCCGTTTTCCTGTAGCCAATTCCATGTGCCAGAGGCAAGGGTTTTCTGGAGGAACCCGTGTTTACCAGGTTTCTTACCCAATCTGTTCTCTCTTTACAGCGTGGGGCAGCTTTTAGTATCTCTAGAGGTGCCTGGGCTGTGCAAGGCCCTTGGACACAGAGCGCAGAAGAAGAGTAAAGCTCCATAAGGAAGGAGCTGGCATCTGGAGGACGTTAAAAAGCATGCAACGAGATCAAAATCATCTTGGCATTTCCCTCTCAGATAGACATGACCCATCACGTTTAAAGCACCTTCAGTGTGCACCTGTGATGCGATAGTATCAATAAGAGAGGGGAAAACATTAATTAAACTTTTGGTGGTTTTACATCTTGCTTTACATCAGCTCTACAGAGTGGATAAAGTGCTGGGACAAAGGAAACAGCTGATTTCCCTTCACGTTCCCACCCCAACAGGCCATCCATACTCATGTACAGGAATAGGTCTGTCTTATTATTATTGTTTTTTAAAAAAATATCACTTGAAGAGCTCCCCACTTGACAAGTGTGAGAAATGTGCTGGACAAGCCCTCAATGACAGTCCAAGGCAGTGGAGGTCCTTCCTAGAGAAATTTTAAGTTTACATATAGCTGGACACCATTCACTGAGTCTTCCCTACTCCCTCCCTCTTCACTCCATACTCATGTACAGGAATAGGTCTGTCTTATTATTATTGTTTTTAAAAAAAATATCACTTGAAGAGCTCCCCACTTGACAAGTGTGAGAAATGTGCTGGACAAGCCCTCAATGACAGTCCAAGGCAGTGAAGGCCCTTCCTAGAGAAATTTTAAGTTTACATATAGCTGGACAGCAGTCACTGAGTCTCCCCTACTCCCCCCCTCTTCATCCACTGCTATGGTGACCTTGTATCCCAGACCTCCAGACAAAACCCAACTCATTTCACCAAAATCACAACAATACTGTCATTTTGGTATTACCTACATTTCAGCCTCAAACTCTTTTACACTAATCTGCTAATCCCATATAATATTGACTTCCCAAGAAGGAAGATTATGCTAATCAGGATTTCTGAAGGATTTACACATGATCCTATATTTACTTTTGAACTTTGTCAGAGTGACAAAGGGAATATGTCACCACTGAGCTGCTACTGCGCTTTGTCTGGATTACAGGTCAAGCAGCAGCAGAGCCCAAACCTATCGCCACCAAAATGTCTCTCAAGCAGGCAAACTAACATATTTGAGACCATCTTTTCCCCACAGATGAAAGGGTAACTGCAACCATTTACTGAGAGCTCCTAAAAAGCACAAACCTTAGTACCTCCACCCAGTAATACTTCTATCCCACCTGGGACCTAAAGATCTCTCAAGTTCTCCAAATCGAATGTGTGACCTAGGTCTGAAAAAGGATGTGCATGTCCTCAAGAAGCATCAAAACAAAATCAGTAAGTTCAAGAGGTACTAAACGTATCAACTGGAGGGAAGACTCACAAAACACACAGAAATGAAGCATCGCACAGCCACCCAAAACGCAGTAGAAAAGCACATCTAAGATGTGGAGCTGGAAGAATCCCATTTTATTTTAAAGTGACTAACAACTTCATGTGACAAATTGTACTACATCTTGTTCAGCATATGGTACGCTGTGTTACACTGAATGGAAGGCCTCTACTTTTATTTTAAGCTGGGGTTTTAAGCTGAATCACCACCTAGGATGTGCAGAGAAGGGCTTTGTTGCCAGAGGCTTGAGATCTGTATAAGGGAGACTGCAAATTTGCAACAATGCTTGAATTTCTGCATCTCGACATAATCAGGAAGATGATGCTGCATCATTAACCAGATGGAGAACGTTCTGTTTTAGAGTCAGCTGAAGCATCAGTGGGTTTGTGGGACCCCTGGGAAACTGCACGTGAAGTTTGTACCCCCTGATCAAATCCCGTAGTAGCCAATCCTTCCCTCCTCCGGGGCTGCTCCAGGGAATCTTTGCTCATTCCCTTTCAGGAAGCAGCAGCTTTCCCAGCTTGGATGCCACCTCTCTGCCCAGCAGATGTGTTCCAAAAGCTGCGTGGGAGCTGCCTGGCTTTCACAGTAAAGGCAAGAGCATGCGTGTCCTGGGCCTCGGGGACCTTGACAAGAGCTGTAGGTCACCGAGCACTTTGTGAGCAGTTTCAGGTTCATGTGATCAGATTCCACGACACCCACAGACCCAGTGGAAAAAAACTGCAAATGCCAAGGAAAAAAAAAGAAAAAATATTACTCTGTGGGCCTAGTCTAGTGCAGAAAAGGAATAACCGCAGCTGAGGTGCAAACTGACTCTGTGTGAATACTTAATTTCCAAAAAAGACTAAAAAGAAAAATCAAAGCAATATAGGATCTCTTTCTAAATTTAAAGCAAGGATCCGTGCAAGGGGTTTACCTTGTTTTGCTACTGATTTGTATTCCAGTTATACAGAACAGACTTCAGAATAAAGCAAAATGTACCCTGCACCATACTCACGTGGCCATCCTGGGGCAAGTCCACATCACCTTATTCCAGATACACAGGGACACACTTCATCCACAGACACACTTTTGCAGATTTAGCACAACCCACTCCCCAAAAAGGACCCCAAACTACACAGATAGTACCAGATTTCAGAGTGCTGGGGTGAGAAACAGGCAACACAGAAGAGCTGTTCTAGGCTCACACACCCCCAAGACCTGATTTATTTTTTTTTCTATGCCCAGCTCCTCCAAATTCAGCCTGTTCACCACCAGGAAAAACCATCCGTTCCAAACAACTCTGCCCCCACTACACAGCAAGCTTTGGTTTCTGTAGCTCTGTGGATTCTGAAATATAAGGAAGAAGTAAAATATTAAGTCTCTTGACAAAAGAAGGAAAACATTTAATGTAGTAGGAGTTCACAACTTGTCTCTTCCCAACTGCTGAGTGTAGCAAGCTCAGCACCACAAGGAATCCCTTCAGAAGTGAAAATTATTTCCAAGTACTATTTTTCACCCATCCAGTGACTCCGACACAGACAGAGCTGCTGACACGTTTCTTCTAAAAACTACACAACAAAAAAGGCCTGTAGCTCCGAGTTTTGAATTTGCCATTGCTAAATTTAAACCCACCGGCCTTGTTACAGATTATTACATAAACCCAACTGCTTATCCCCTGCACGATAGTTACTTTTGACCTAACTAGGCTTAAAGCACATTTCTTGGCCCCACTTTCTGCTGCCAGCCCGAAAGGGAGCAAATACCCAAGAAGAGAGGATTAAAGGAGATAGAAGAATACTTGAGAACAGCAAATAGCAGGCTACAGATTTGCTGCTTCTCTTTACCATGCTATTGTTTTGCTTTATTCTGGGATGGGTAAATCAGGTGAGGAACATTTGGTCACACAAGGGCATGGGTTCTGTCCACAAGCCACCATCATAAAAACTGCAGTGCTGCCGAGTACCGTTAGAGACAGGTTTAAAGAAAGGTCCCACTTGCCTGCACGTTCTTCCCACAACTCAGACGAGGCACTAGACAGAGAAGCAAAGGCTCACAGCACCACAGATTTATTTACAACAGACTACAGACAGACAGAGCAGCGGGCCACAGAAAATTAAAAACAAGGATGAACTCCTTTCCACAAAATGGAAACTATCCTCTCGTGAACAGGCCGAGGGAAAACAAATAAAAGAATTTCAGAAATTCAGGTGATTATTTTTTTCCTCTCTACATAGCTATCTGGGCAGCCCAAAGGTAAACAGATTTGATGCCCTCTGTGTAGCCCTGATATAGGCATAGCAGGGCCTGTAGCTGCTTCTACATTCTGTCTTTCCCCAATATCAAAAGAATCGGTCACAGTCAGAATCCATCCAGCGTTAATTTAGATTTATGTGCACTCAGATGCACTAAATGTATTTTGACACAAACTGATATTTTGTGAAATCATATTTTTTTCCTTTACATTCATCTATTAAACACACCTCCTGTACTCAGGGAAATATTACATTACAACACACTGCAACAAACATAGCAGAGGTGGGAGCATTTACTGACCAAAGTCCATTAATTTATTTTATCTGCAAATTTATTGTAAAACCTGTGAAGCTTTGAACAAATACATCCACTAGATAGGTGCAACATCAGGATCTCAATATTCCTTGAGCCACGCCAAGCCAAAATTAAAACACACACAAATCCTAAAAAACTGGTGATAAACTCAGCTGTGGTGCAGTAGCTTAATTAAGCCGTCGTAAAAAGACACATTTGGGATTGACTTTTTTTTGTTGTTTTGTCTGTCTGTTTTGTTTTCACTCTCCCATGTGCATTATAGGTGCATTGCAGGAAGTACAGAACTGAGTAGATTGCGGTTATGCCGAGACATAATGCCAGTGGGGAGCAGAAACACCTCATCAAAGTTATCAAAGGATGAAAATCCACAATCCTGGTTGGTCAAAATACAGCTGCTCCCTGAAAACAGGTACCTGTGTACTGGTGTCTGGCAAAGCTACCTTGAATCACCGCTCAGTAAATCCCTAGTGCACACACGCCTGGCAGTGCTGAAGTGACTTGACCCCTCACTTTTACTTCTGTCCAACATTATGCAATCTTTTTGCTACTGCAGTAATGAGAGCAGCTCCCTTTCCACTTCCGTCTTCGGAAAGCATGAAAGTCACATCACACTGAGGTGCCAGTTCCTTCACTGTTTCCCGCAGGACCCTAGAAAAACTGTAAAGAAAGGGAGAGAAGAACAGATTTTAGCAGCTGCTTTCTGGTCTGAGATCTTTCTATTTATCTATTAACAAGGAACCATAACCTCAGCCAACATCTTCCACTGGCTGTCCACAGCATCCCTTCCTGTTTGTTTTTCCTCCTATTCACGAAAGAGACAAGTTTCTGCACACAATCAGATTTCAATTTCTATTTTTCCATTTTTATTTTCTTCAGCATGATGCCAGACAAAGGCATGCTTGCCTTTAGAGATCATGGAGAAGGCTCCCAACTCAAAAGCTAATGCATCATTCTAGGCCTTGCTCACAAAATATTGACCCAACTCCAAAAACTCAACACAGCTTTCCTTCTGGGACACACAGATATTGCAGAAATCCCCCCAAACACTGGAAAATAAATATTAGAAGAGTCAGTTCACTCAACATCCCAGAGAAAAGAGCCTCCCAGTGGTAACTGGACTTGACTTTGTAATTTTTGATCCTTCAGCTAAGAAAGGGGAATGATAGGATGTAGGGAAACACGTTAGATCTTTATCCTCTCTCTCATTTTTTATCATCTCAGCAGAAAGCTGATACAGCTTGATATGTTTTCGCAGTGGAAATGAGCACACAAGCAAAGGGAAGTGGTACCAAGGTACTCACTGTGGATGGAGCTTGTACAAAGTCCCATCGACTCCAACGGTGATTTGCAAGTGGTCCACACCTCGGTCTTCTCTCTTCTTCTCTACGATAGCTGCCAGTCCTGCCCCACAGAGCTGCGCGGCTCTTCTTGAAACAGCTCCACACACCTCCTTCACAATGATGCTGTCTTCACACGTGCTGTCCAGGCCGAGCTGCTGTAGAATCCGCCGGACTTGGAGGAGGGCGAGCCGGTCGCTGTGCAGAGGGAAACACATGCAGCAGCAAAAGCATTAGGGGAAGCCTCGTCAAATACGCAAATGAAAATATTACAGCTGAGACCCTGCCATGATTCAAAGGAAACGGGACCGCTGCTCCAACTCTCCAATTGTTTTAAAGCAGATTCCAGTCTGATTTCAGTTTGAAAACTTGCTCCTGGCATGTCCTTTCTATGCTTCCAGAAGGAAACGTAGCTTTTTTTTTTTTTTGCTTGCATTTCCAGAAGGAGCAAACAGTAGTTAATCACCTAATTCCCAAAGTCATGAGGGAGCTGAGCCAGATCAGCCACCTGAGTTATTGTTGATCTCAAGGCTGAGACACTACCTTCCAAGGCTTTCAACAGCAGAAAGGGTTCCAAATAACCCAGAAGACCATTGCAATCATGCACAGATATGTAGGTAAGCACATATTTATGGAGTATTCATATATCACTGACTTTTTGTTTTTCAAATAAGCACTATTTTAAGTCCTGCAAGAAACACTCCAAGTACAATCACACTTGATGGTTAAGGCATCCAAGATAACACAGCTGTGTGGACAGCAAATGGTAATTCATATAATTACACAATAATTCTGGAACTCCTCCAGTTCCTCCTTTTTGGCCTTCATTCTGGGGATGGGGGAGTGTGTTTGCAAAGAAGAAAACTATAATTGACTTCCTGAAGGAAAGGGCTCCACACACTTGCAGGAGATTATATTCTGGAGGTCCCACAAGACCGTAAGGATTTACACCACATAAATCTAACAACCTTACCTCTCAATTTGAGACAGGAATTTTGTTTCAAATATGCCTCTTTTCCTGAGTGATTCTGAAATCTGTCCTCGGAACAGCAGTCCTTGTTTAGTTAAGTCGATCAAAATTTGCCTGACTATTTCACCTAGGTACATTCCACTGGTCATTTTTTCATACCTGTTACGTTATAAAAAGAAAAAAAAAAAAGTGCTTTTAAAGAGATGGCATGTTAGCTCTGAGTGGTACAGACACACCCTACCAACTCTTACAAGAGCAGTAAAAGCCTGCAGATCAATAGCCATCCAACTCTAGCCTTCAACCATCAAAAATCTGTTGCAGTGACTTCAAGTGTAAACATAAATTACAACATATTTACCTATGGCAAAAGGGAACAGAGCTAGAAAAAAAAAAAAACACCAACCTTGCAATATTAAACAGAACATAGTGTTAAAGCCAGAGTCTACACTGAAGTGAAATGTTTCCGTCTCCCCCACACACTCACTGGTGAGTCATATGTAATCAATGCTGCCTTTACCAAACAAAGAACGGTCAAGTTCAGTTTATCCTCTTGCATGAGCTGTATTTTACCTTTGGAAAAACACTCCAAGAGGGTGAACACAGCAAGGCCCATACTTTGCAGTGAAATCTTAAGAGCTGCACTGTCTGGTAACTACCCTAAGGTGAAAACAGTACTGTGGTAATGGTACCATGGGGTTTTTTTTCTGGATATATCTACATTACATATCATGCAATGAATCAAATGTTATATTAAAATTTCCTTTCTGATTATTTATTCATTAAGCATATTTTTAAAAGCAGCCAGTGTGCCTTGAAGACTGACTTCATCAAACTCTTAGCATCAGGACCATCATATTTACCTCTGTTTCCCTGGGTTTAGTGAGCCCTCATCGACTTCTTTGTCGTATTTTGTTCTGATGTTGTCAATGCAGCCGTTGTCACCAAATCCTCCCCACTCTGTATTAATGCACATTTTTCCTTCATTCCCTTCCACTATTTCAATGTTTTTCATGTCCTCCATGTAGCACACATTGCTGCCCGTTCCTAGGAGAAAAGAAATGACAAGGCTAGAAAAGTGAAGTAGCAGCTGAAACACTTGGAAGATAACAGCAATGATCATCTTAAAATCTCTCTACCCTATATCCCAAATTTCAAAGATCTCTCTATATTTTACAGAAGCAAGTGCTATCCAGTAATGCTAAGAGTGCTGTAATTTATCACAACAGAATATTATTATGGAAAATGGGTCCTGTGTAGAAAATTCCCAGTGTAAAGGATTCTCTGTTAAAGGTCAGAAAAGCCTTTGGCAGTCGTTGGTAAGTGCTGATCAGTTAACAGAATATTATTATGGAAAATGGGTCCTGCGCAGAAAATTCCCAGTGTAAAGGAATGAGGATTCTCTGTCATAGGTCAGAAAAGCCTTTGGCAGTCGTTGGCAAGTGCTGATCAGTCATCACTGCCAGTCTGGTTGCAACGCACCACAAATCAACTTGAATGACAGCACGCTCCCAAAAGCAAACCCTGCCAGGAGCCCAGCAGCCAGTCAAGCAGCTACCAGGTCTGAAACGATTTGGTGAACAGGGCCTCATCACTTGCAACACGAGTTACATTAACTGATACGAAGACCAGTTCTTAGCCAGCTAGAAGAGTCTATTTTCCAAATGGGGCTTTGATGTATTTCTGGATGAAAACTTGGAGGGACCTACAGGGGAGTAATTTAGAAAGCCCAAAAAGAATTCATTAAGATTTAAAAAGAAATATTTCTTGTTCCAAGGCCTATGACCTGGCTACACAGTAAATATCAATACAGTTGTCAAAACAAGGATTCATGCTCTATCTGCTGTTCTCATATTTTTTCACCATGCATACACCATGAGGCACCATCAGAGATATGATCAAAAGTCCAACAGATTCAGGATCCTATCTGCTACAGGTGTTATTATGTTACTTGTCGAATACCATACAAATCTGCCGTCAACTCCAGGTGACTGGTAACATCATATATCAAACTCAAGTAAAAGATGTTGTTTTACAAATTCCAAAATAGGGTGTGAAGCCTAGCACCTGCATACATGCTTCCTTCTTATAGAGCTCACTTCAGTATCACTGTACCTGCAATCAGGCCAATCTCACAGTTTGGATCTTCATATCCACACGTCATCATTGTCCCAACAGTGTCATTCACCACTGCTACAATGTCCAAGTCAAACTCCTAAAACACAAGTCACAATCAGTAGCAGGGTCCCAGAGGAAGAGGGAGGGTGCATTAAATACACCAAAAAGAGCAGAAAAGAATAGCTCACGTTTCTTCTCTTGATGGCCTCTCTCAGCATATCAACAACATCTTCTCCCTCGCAGTCTGTTGCCTTGAAACCTTTTGTCCATCCCACAAGCGTTCCCTGAAACAGAAGGAAAAGAAAACCATAAGTGGAGATAAAGAGAAGACTGTACATTCCAAATATCAGTCTTTTCTTGTCTCCAACTTCATCCCCCCACACACTTTTTTTTTTTTATTAAATAATGTGTTTCCCTGAACAGGTTACTGTGAGTGTCTAGTGCACAGTGTGTGCACGTGTATCTTTGTTACTCAACAGCTGATGGTAGTGACTCCAAGTTTACTCAGCTATTTATCAAGACACGGCCAAGTCAGTGCCTTCTAACACTCTTATTCAGAAAATCTTCTAATCTCACCTCCTGTGCAGGTAGTCATCGCATTATCTAGGAGGAAGACTGTAAAAAATACTTTTGCTGTAAATAATTAAACACCCAATAAACATTAATTAACATCTGCTAGTTAATTTTTGGCTCATTTACTGAAGGACACTTGGTATGATGTGACTAATCCAGGCAACTCTAATTTATTTCTTTTTGGATAGTGACCTGGCCTGACAGAAGTAAATTTCCACGTTACATGATGTAATTGACCTTCTGGTTAGTAACTGGCTCTGGACTTTCTGTCCAAATAAGAAAAAAAGAGGGCAAGTGGGAGAAAAAGCTGCTCTTAAAAAAATCCCTCAAGTTCTAGCAACAGGAAAAGACCAAACATAAGGTGACATACTATGGGACTCTGACACAGATGGGTCTCACTCAGGTGGTCACCACTGCTGGGGTATTTGTTTCCCCATCGTTTGTCAAGACCTAAACACTGTGCTGTAGGTTTGGAAGGCACATTGAAGTGGTTTCCCCACAAATAGCCAAGTCCTGTTGCTAAAACTCTCAACTGTGATCTGAAAATTGAGACAGAACAGACTAGCTTCTAGATTTAGAAGATATTGTGAAACCCTTCAGGACATAAAAGCATTCAATACAATACTAGTCTCTCGTTTCCCCAGTATCCTAGATATTTGACTAGAATTAAGCAGCACAACTTCCCCCGCCCCTCTTTGGACATGCATCAAAATAATTGAAAATTATTTCTTCCTGAATTTTTTTTTTTTTTTCTTACAACAGATCTGGAAAGATGAAGATACATTATCTGTCAAAAAGCTCAGTTCTGACACTGACACTCAACAAAAAGAAACTATTGTCATGTGGAAGTTAGATTGTCAGAGCTGTGCAACACAATCAGGAAGGGATCCTGGGACTGTAGCTAAGCAAGTAGGAAGCATCTGTTATCTCTTGCCATTGAGGAGTTAAGGCAGCGTACGAGATTCCTGGGCTATTAGAAATACAGTCATTTCACTATCTTAAGGGCTTAATCTTTATAGAATAAAAGCAAGTTACATCCACCTCTTATGAGATACAAGAGGTTAAAGTTCTACCTACTCATATGCATATATCATGATACCTTTCTCATGAAACACAGCTAATTTGCACAGTAGAGTAATAAAATCCCCATAAAACAGGTGAAATATTCTCTCCAAAGACTAATTTGTGCGCACACACACACACATACCTCTCTCTTTTCAACCTTGTAAAGTCCTACTTGGAAAAAAAGATTTTGAAGAAGAACTTTTTGCTTGCGATCTCCAAACCAGCAAGTCACCCTCATCCAAATTGTGTCATTTACCAAGCCGATGCACAGCTGCCATTTGACCTGTTCTGTGTTGCAGTTCCTACCTTGTCAATGCTGGCTTGCCTGCACGGGAAGGAGAAAGTGAAGCCCAGAGGCAGCCGAGCACCTTTAATCCCCATATACTCCAGGAAGTCTGCTATGCACTGCACAATATGGTCAAAGAGCTGGAAAGAAAGAAAAAGCATACAAATCTCACTGTAATCCCATGCAATAGGCCTTGGCTGAATCACTTAAACATTCATTAGAGGTTACCTCTTCCCCGGTCCCTTGCATGATCTCCAAAGGAATGGCAAAGATTTTGTTATACATTTGCACTGATCTTCTCCTCCCGCTTCTGATTTTGACCAGCAGAACTCTAAAATTTGTCCCACCAAGATCAAGGGCAAGGAACTTTCCTTTCTCTGTAAGAGAAGAAAGTTATTTCCTTTTGGTGCATTTCTTGCAGCATGTTTGCCAGTCAGAATGGCATACTCTGCCACACGTCCCCAAGAAGCTCCTCTGTGCCAACGATAGCACACTGCTCCCTATGGCATTTATCCCATCGGCCTGCTAGCATGGGGCTGAAGGACCAGCCAGACAACATGACAGGAAGCCCCAGGTGGCCAACATAAATCATCCTGGCATATGCCAGAAAAATTGGCATATCCCCCCCGGGAATACAGACTTTCCTGAACCACCTCCAGGTGATCAGGAACTGACTTTACCTGTTCCATCGGGTGTCCCACAGACATATGTGGGTAACATCTTCACCGTGGCACTGGCTTGCGTCTCTCGCTTTAGCCCATATTCCAGCTCAGTCCTCATTTTGTTCTTAACTTCTCTGAGGGTCTCCAGGGAAAGCAGAAATGGTGCGAGAGCAGCATCGATCTGCTTGCGCTGAGCGGCCAGCCTGTACGCCACCGCTGTGACCATGGCAGCCCCCTTCCCGCTGCCGCTCACCGACAGGAGGAACCGAACATCACAGTTGGGGACAAGCCTTCTCACCACCTTGTGCAGGCGTTTGGCATATCTGCAGGAGCAAGGAGTTTCTTTAGACTCTCACAGGCACTTCACGCATGGTTTACTTCACATACACTTCCAATACACACACACATCCAACAGCACAATGCTGAAAGGCAGTCAAGAGGAGCACAAGGTCAGAAACTGGTCTAAGAGATGGGTACAATGATCCTGATTTCTGTCTATTCTGCAGAACCTGTAGACTTACAGGAACGCGAAGATACCTCTAGAAAAGTGCCAGTGCCAAGGGAGAGGAACACTGGAGAAAAGCCAGTGGACAGTCACAATCACAAACAGAGGGTGAGAGTCTTCATCTTCAACCAGACTTCCATCCAGTTTGGCAGAAATGTTTGGGAAAGCACAGGTTCAAAGAGCAGGAGGTAAGAAAGAAAAGAAAAAATCCACAGTGAACTGAAAGTGCCTTGGAGTCACTTGAGGAATCAACTGCCCTTCCCAAGACACCACTATCCCACGTGTCATGTTGTCCCCACCCAAGTCCTACAGCTCCTGAGGCAGTTTTGAACCCTCTGCACTCCACCAGATCTCACCTCAGCCCTGCAGGAAAACCAGAAGTTCTCTGAAAAGCCACACATACATGCAGACAGAGACTCTTTGCAACACCAACATGTGGCTAGTAATCACCAAATCCTCTTTAGATACTTACTGGGGGTGGGTTTTATAGAGTCCCCCATCAATCCCAACAGTGGTTCGCATCCTTAACAGTTTTTTATTCTCTCTCAGTCGGGTCAGTATGGCTGCTAAGGCAGCAGCACAGAGGTTGGCCGAGCGGAAGGAAACGATGGTGCAGACGTGCTGAACAGCAATGCAGTCCTCTTCGGAGGGGAACAGGTTCAGTTCTGTAAGGATCTCTTTTGTGTTGCTCAGACCCTCCTTATATCTACCCCAAAACAAAAGAACACATCGTAAGGATATGAAGGCAACACATAAATCAATATCTGCACATTGGCTCAAAAAAAGAAATGAGAGAAGACCAGGGCACAACCTATCAGGCAGCACCATAATTGGTTCCCATAAACCAGTAATGTCTTTCCCACACTATTCCCAGAAGTACTCGGGGGAGAGACGAGACTTTTAAGAGGCTGCTTCTTGTGGTTCAGTTTTTGGTGAGAGTGAGACATACTGATTAGCTAGCCAAGAATAGAACAGGATAAAATATTTATTCCACAAAAGGAGAGCACAGGAATAGACGTAGAGCTTCACTCAATGCAACAACGAAAATTATTCCTGGAGTAACAAGGAGGACCAGGATCCCTCTTCAAAACACCAGAATCTGTCAGTTTTCCATGTAGTCATCCATTAGCTGATTCAGAGTCTGTACTACATCTCCACAACCCCAGTATTCCCACATGACAGAAGCTGAAAACTGCAACAATCAACCTATGTATTCAGGTCTCCAAAGAGGTTATTTAAACAGCCTGCATCTGTGACAGATAACAATACATTTTCCACTGTGACACTTCACTAAAACTTTACCTTCCACCAATTCCTGCTTACAGAAAGATCAAATTTTCTCCTGGGCAAAAGCAAAATCAAGGTGAACAGTTCAGGACTGTTCCCAGTACTCAGAGATTATAATTGCACACTCACTATAATTGCTGTGCTTGTGAAAGACTAAACGCCACTCTCAAACAGCATAACGCAAGTTCTTACTTTTCCATTGCAGCCACGTGTTTCAGTTCAATCGTGCCCTTAGTAAGCAGAGCTGTTGACGCTTTCCCATTGAAGAGTAGACCTTCCTTTGTCATTTTTAGCAGAATGAGTCTTACAAGTTCTCCCAAATACAGGCTGCTGATCATCTTCTCGAACCTGGAATGGGGCACAGGAAGGATTACAGGTGTTCACCAGCGAGCCAGAGCTACAAAGAGTTCAAGTATGAGCATATTATATTCTTATGCAGGTTGATTCACATTTAAGCATGCATAAAAGGGGTTTGGGAGCAAAGTTGTAGATAGGATGCCATCCTGAACTCCCGGGACCCAGCAACAGTCCCTGAAGCTAAGTGAGAGATTAAAGAGAATTTTGAAAAGGCTTGCAAGCAGCTCAGCCAGTAGAAGCAGTTTTGCTGAACCAGGCTTTAAATATGCCCTTTGTTTACCTTCCTCCTCTCTCTACTCCTCCACAGCACCATACCAGAGTAACCACCTATTGTTAACAACATATTCGCAACTGCAGCAGCATTCCCTTGGCCTGTGAGGCAGGGAGGTGTGAAAGCTACCCACTCTTCTCAGAAGGGAAAGGTCTGCGTAGGACAGGACCAGGATCAAGTCAACTCAGGCTCACTTAACCCCATCCTTGTTCCAAAGGGAACAGGCACATGCTGGAAACACATTCAAAGAACTCAGACTGCAGAGCCAAACCAGTCAGGGAATCACTTACAGTTGTTTTCCAGGATTGAGAGATCCCAGATCGAGCTCCCGATCAAACTCCGTGCGGAGGTCGTCCAAAGCACCATCATCTCCAAAGGCCCCCCACTCCGTGTTAATGCACATCCTCCCTTCATCTCCTTCCACCAGATCGATGTGTCTCATCTCCTCCATGTAGCATGCGTTGGTGCCAGTCCCTGTGTGTATTGGAGACAGTGCAGATAAATTACCTGTTTGTTCCAGGTTTGCTTTTGGTTTGTTTTATATACATACATTTGGGAATAAGTAAATATATTGTCTTGGGAAGAAAGTATAAATACATAACCCTGTGGAACCGGATGCAAATGTCAAGCCATCTGCACTTGTTAAAGAATCATTTCACAGTGAGTGAAAGAATTCTGGAAATTAATCCAAGGCTTGACTTGTTTCAAAACATTTTTTCTTTTTCAAATGTACTTCTATGTGCCTTAAAAAAGCCACCAAGGTGCGTGAAGTGGAGACACTGTGGAAAGCATAGCTGATCCTAACTACCGGACGTGAGAGGAATTCAGCTTTCTCTGGACAGACCGACAGTCATTTTCTATACAGTCAGCAGAAAAGTTTAGTATGCTGGTCACAACTGAACCCAGACAAAATGGGGACTGTGGTATTTGATGGCAATGTGATCAGCATAAAAACAGCTGCTTTACAGAAGGCAGCCAGGCTTGAAAATCTGACCATTGTTTTTTCCATTTTCTTCCTGCTCTTTCCTGTACTGGGACACTCCCTTCTACTGCAGATTTGTTAGGACTAAACAAATGAGGGGAAAAGAAAAAACTACTTAGTGAACAGAAAAAAATTACCAATTATGAGTCCAATTTCACAGCGTGGGTCATCATATCCACAAGTCATCATGGTTCCCACAGTGTCATTGACCAGTGCCAAAACATCAAGGTCTATGTCCTAATAGCATAAAGATGGGTGATTAACAGCAAAAAAAAAAAAAAAAAAAAAAAAAAAACTTAAAAACCCCCCTGTGTTTTAAACAGCATGCAGAAAAACA